AAGCCGGAGGTGCAGGCTCGATGTTGCCTCGCGGACTCTACGATCAACATAAAAAGAACTCCCAGCCCGTGTGCTGTGAATAACTTAAAGCGTCCTCCTTCATACCTTGCATCCCCCAGTTCGTGGAACTCATTCCGAAAGCTGTCATTGAGATCAGCACAAGTGGACAGTCAATGTTGAAGTGACCACACAGTTCACTCTTCCTAATTGGACTTGATACGGCTGCGATCATGCCTGATCTGGTTGTGCTTTTGCACGTGTGATGACCAGCAGCAGATCCAGATATTTCAACCCATTCTTTTTGTCAACAAGTACTGAAGGCCCAAGAACCGCTCGACGCTCTTAAGTGGGTGACGAGGCTAACTGAAGGTCCAGGAACCGCTTGAGCTGCACCGCCTGGATTGGGGACAGTAACACTGAGCTCGTGAAGTAGAACCTGCTGAAGCCACCTCAGGCGTCTTTCTTGGATGGCCTCTGATATCCCCGCGATACAGGATGACGTCGGAACCGCTTGCTTAGGAGTCCCCCCGGGTTGCTAACAGTGTGTATTTGTGTGGAATGGTCAGCCATCCGAGGTCTGCTTTACTTTTTCTCTGCTCTTGTTTGGACCAATCTGAATGCGCAACCTGTGAGAGAGTCTCCGTTTACTGAACCTAGCTCGTTTCACTTGCTACTCTTTTAGGAGTCGTCGGATTTGGCCTCCTTGTCCCTCCACTGTCCTCTCGGATGTCCCCAGGGTGTGTGGCACATTGTCTGTCTGGCCAGGCACCTGACCTCGGAGGCGGCAAAACGGCCACTGTCGTCAGTCCCTGCTGTCGAGGAGGCTCCGCCCAAGCCGCAGCTTCTCCCCCTGGACGGCATCTGCCCTGCCTGCGAAGCGGCTGAATTCCTGTGGCCGGAGCTGTTAGCCAGTCAGCAGCCGGGAGTTTTCAAATGATGTGCCTGTAAGATACTACCAAAATGTACAGAGAGGCAAAAAGCATTGTGACCAATTGTTTATTTTTTTCGTCTTTTAAAACTACGCGAATATGTTTTTGCTGCGTTCTTTTTTATTTTACCTGGAACATTTTGTTGTACGGGGTCTCGTTAGTTGGGTTGAAAGGAAAGCTGGCCTTATTGAGGGCGTCTCTGGGCGGTCCAAAAGGTGCAACGTGGATAGTCTAGAGCAAGCAAGCGTTTGCGAACCAAGGATAGGCGGATTAGATGATGTCTGGCAAACCGAATACCGCAGACTACGATGACAATGCTGTGAATGACCTCTATAAATTTCATCCGTTACCGTTGCCGCTTGACTGTACACCCCTTCTAAGACCGAGTTGAGGGCGAGAGAACAAAGCGAGTATTAAATACGTCCCCCCTTCGGAACATCTAGAAGAAGACCACATGTTTTCAAAGATTTATTTAGAAAGCAGAGGAAGAATCTCATCCAACAGGGCGTCGCGGTTGCTTCGGGTGACCTGTTTCAGATTAGAAAAAAGACTGACGTGAAAACTCCCAAAACGAAATAGGCGTACGTACCAAGTTACGCAAGAAGATATTACAAAGAGACCGGTATTTCTTCGCAATTCAGTATATTCTGAAAGCGTGTGTGAAGAAAAGACTTTCTTTGGGAAAACAAGGTAACTTTATTTGGTGAATTGTCGACGCTATTTCCCCAGGTCGTCGCCAGCCTTGAGAGGATGTACAACCAACAATTAGAATTTCAAAAGAACTGGAACAATTAATAGTCATTCAGCAATTTTGAAATTTTAATTGTTCGTTGTACATTCTCTCAAGTCTGACGACGACCTGGGGGACCAGCGTCAAGAACTTGCTGAATAAATTTACCTTGTTTTCGCTAAAGAACATCCTTCCCTCAAAATATATTTCTTGGGATGTCTGCCTTTCAATTTACACGCATGATAAATACGATCCACGTTATTAGTTCAAGGCAGTAACAAGCCATCCATCCTTGCTGTGGGGTAGCTGATCACCATTTAGCTTCAATCTTTCTCCCTCGTTCCCCATAATATGGGAATGTGTATAGTAGGATGTCACACCTTCTGTGGAGAGGATTTGCCTCCCCGTTTCCTTTTTTTTAACTGACATTATAATGCAGCGACAAATTTAAACGGTCAAGCAATTCGCTGATCGCATCCGTAGTAAGGTCGCTCCCCCTCTCCACTCTGAACTAATCGGTGCCAAGTCTTCCCATACTATGCGCCTATGCTTCCTTCATGTCTTGCCGTATATCGGCATATCAACACTCTGTACTCCCATTCCTTGCACGCTACCTTACGTGTGAAGAAATTGAAATTGAGAAGTTGAAAGCCGACCTGTCTCCATAACAGATGTGAATATCGTGTAAACCGTTGACTTTGAGTATTATATGACCTTTTACCTTGCCTTATCTCTTACGCTTCGTAAATGGGACCATTTTTTAGTTGACCCAATTGTGAAAAAACTCGCGGCATTCGGCGGGATTCGAACTGGGAGGGTGGCCTTTTACGCAAGCCAACGTTCTACCCACTTGAGCTACGAATG